TCGAGTCTCGACGTCGATGCAAGTCAGTCAAGTCACATGACTCGAGTCCACACCTCAGAGGTGGGACAAAGTCATTGTTATGCAAGTCCAAGTCGAGTCTGAAGTCATCAAATTCATGACTCGAGTCTGACTCGAGTCCAAGTCACATGACTCGAGTCCACACCTCAGAGGTGGGACAAAGTCATTGTTATGCAAGTCCAAGTCGAGTCTGAAGTCATCAAATTCCATGACTCGAGTCTGACTCGAGTCCAATTCACATGACTCGAGTCCACACCTCAGAGGTGGGACAAAGTCATTGTTATGCAAGTCCAAGTCGAGTCTGAAGTCATCAAATTCATGACTCGAGTCTGACTCGAGTCCAAGTCACATGACTCGAGTCCACACCTCAGAGGTGGGACAAAGTCATTGTTATGCAGTCCAAGTCGAGTCTGAAGTCATCAAATTCATGACTCGAGTCTGACTCGAGTCCAAGTCACTGACTCGAGTCCACACCTCAGAGGTGGGACAAAGTCATTGTTATGCAAGTCCAAGTCGAGTCTGAAGTCATCAAATTCATGACTCGAGTCTGACTCGAGTCCAAGTCACATGACTCGAGTCCACACCTCAGAGGTGGGACAAAGTCATTGTTATGCAAGTCCAAGTCGAGTCTGAAGTCATCAAATTCATGACTCGAGTCTGACTCGAGTCCAAGTCACATGACTCGAGTCCACACCTCAGAGGTGGGACAAAGTCATTGTTATGCAAGTCCAAGTCGAGTCTGAAGTCATCAAATTCATGACTCGAGTCTGACTCGAGTCCAAGTCACATGACTCGAGTCCACACCTCAGAGGTTGGGACAAAGTCATTGTTATGCAAGTCCAAGTCGAGTCTGAAGTCATCAAATTCATGACTCGAGTCTGACTCGAGTCCAAGTCACATGACTCGAGTCCACACCTCAGAGGTGGGACAAAGTCATTGTTATGCAAGTCCAAGTCGAGTCTGAAGTCATCAAATTCATGACTCGAGTCTGACTCGAGTCCAAGTCACATGACTCGAGTCCACACCTCAGAGGTGGGACAAAGTCATTGTTATGCAAGTCCAAGTCGAGTCTGAAGTCATCAAATTCATGACTCGAGTCTGACTCGAGTCCAAGTCACATGACTCGAGTCCACACCTCAGAGGTGGGACAAAGTCATTGTTATGCAAGTCCAAGTCGAGTCTGAAGTCATCAAATTCATGACTCGAGTCTGACTCGAGTCCAAGTCACATGACTCGAGTCCACACCTCAGAGGTGGGACAAAGTCATTGTTATGCAAGTCCAAGTCGAGTCTGAAGTCATCAAATTCATGACTCGAGTCTGACTCGAGTCCAAGTCACATGACTCGAGTCCACACCTCAGAGGTGGGACAAAGTCATTGTTATGCAAGTCCAAGTCGAGTCTGAAGTCATCAAATTCATGACTCGAGTCTGACTCGAGTCCAAGTCACATGACTCGAGTCCACACCTCAGAGGTGGGACAAAGTCATTGTTATGCAAGTCCAAGTCGAGTCTGAAGTCATCAAATTCATGACTCGAGTCTGACTCGAGTCCAAGTCACATGACTCGAGTCCACACCTCAGAGGTGGGACAAAGTCATTGTTATGCAAGTCCAAGTCGAGTCTGAAGTCATCAAATTCATGACTCGAGTCTGACTCGAGTCCAAGTCACATGACTCGAGTCCACACCTCAGAGGTGGGACAAAGTCATTGTTATGCAAGTCCAAGTCGAGTCTGAAGTCATCAAATTCATGACTCGAGTCTGACTCGAGTCCAAGTCACATGACTCGAGTCCACACCTCAGAGGTGGGACAAAGTCATTGTTATGCAAGTCCAAGTCGAGTCTGAAGTCATCAAATTCATGACTCGAGTCTGACTCGAGTCCAAGTCACATGACTCGAGTCCACACCTCAGAGGTGGGACAAAGTCATTGTTATGCAAGTCCAAGTCGAGTCTGAAGTCATCAAATTCATGACTCGAGTCTGACTCGAGTCCAAGTCACATGACTCGAGTCCACACCTCAGAGGTGGGACAAAGTCATTGTTATGCAAGTCCAAGTCGAGTCTGAAGTCATCAAATTCATGACTCGAGTCTGACTCGAGTCCAAGTCACATGACTCGAGTCCACACCTCAGAGGTGGGACAAAGTCATTGTTATGCAAGTCCAAGTCGAGTCTGAAGTCATCAAATTCATGACTCGAGTCTGACTCGAGTCCAAGTCACATGACTCGAGTCCACACCTCAGAGGTGGGACAAAGTCATTGTTATGCAAGTCCAAGTCGAGTCTGAAGTCATCAAATTCATGACTCGAGTCTGACTCGAGTCCAAGTCACATGACTCGAGTCCACACCTCAGAGGTGGGACAAAGTCATTGTTATGCAAGTCCAAGTCGAGTCTGAAGTCATCAAATTCATGACTCGAGTCTGACTCGAGTCCAAGTCACATGACTCGAGTCCACACCTCAGAGGTGGGACAAAGTCATTGTTATGCAAGTCCAAGTCGAGTCTGAAGTCATCAAATTCATGACTCGAGTCTGACTCGAGTCCAAGTCACATGACTCGAGTCCACACCTCAGAGGTGGGACAAAGTCATTGTTATGCAAGTCCAAGTCGAGTCTGAAGTCATCAAATTCATGACTCGAGTCTGACTCGAGTCCAAGTCACATGACTCGAGTCCACACCTCAGAGGTGGGACAAAGTCATTGTTATGCAAGTCCAAGTCGAGTCTGAAGTCATCAAATTCATGACTCGAGTCTGACTCGAGTCCAAGTCACATGACTCGAGTCCACACCTCAGAGGTGGGACAAAGTCATTGTTATGCAAGTCCAAGTCGAGTCTGAAGTCATCAAATTCATGACTCGAGTCTGACTCGAGTCCAAGTCACATGACTCGAGTCCACACCTCAGAGGTGGGACAAAGTCATTGTTATGCAAGTCCAAGTCGAGTCTGAAGTCATCAAATTCATGACTCGAGTCTGACTCGAGTCCAAGTCACATGACTCGAGTCCACACCTCAGAGGTGGGACAAAGTCATTGTTATGCAAGTCCAAGTCGAGTCTGAAGTCATCAAATTCATGACTCGAGTCTGACTCGAGTCCAAGTCACATGACTCGAGTCCACACCTCAGAGGTGGGACAAAGTCATTGTTATGCAAGTCCAAGTCGAGTCTGAAGTCATCAAATTCATGACTCGAGTCTGACTCGAGTCCAAGTCACATGACTCGAGTCCACACCTCAGAGGTGGGACAAAGTCATTGTTATGCAAGTCCAAGTCGAGTCTGAAGTCATCAAATTCATGACTCGAGTCTGACTCGAGTCCAAGTCACATGACTCGAGTCCACACCTCAGAGGTGGGACAAAGTCATTGTTATGCAGTCCAAGTCGAGTCTGAAGTCATCAAATTCATGACTCGAGTCTGACTCGAGTCCAAGTCACATGACTCGAGTCCACACCTCAGAGGTGGGACAAAGTCATTGTTATGCAAGTCCAAGTCGAGTCTGAAGTCATCAAATTCATGACTCGAGTCTGACTCGAGTCCAAGTCACATGACTCGAGTCCACACCTCAGAGGTGGGACAAAGTCATTGTTATGCAAGTCCAAGTCGAGTCTGAAGTCATCAAATTCATGACTCGAGTCTGACTCGAGTCCAAGTCACATGACTCGAGTCCACACCTCAGAGGTGGGACAAAGTCATTGTTATGCAAGTCCAAGTCGAGTCTGAAGTCATCAAATTCATGACTCGAGTCTGACTCGAGTCCAAGTCACATGACTCGAGTCCACACCTCAGAGGTGGGACAAAGTCATTGTTATGCAAGTCCAAGTCGAGTCTGAAGTCATCAAATTCATGACTCGAGTCTGACTCGAGTCCAAGTCACATGACTCGAGTCCACACCTCAGAGGTGGGACAAAGTCATTGTTATGCAAGTCCAAGTCGAGTCTGAAGTCATCAAATTCATGACTCGAGTCTGACTCGAGTCCAAGTCACATGACTCGAGTCCACACCTCAGAGGTGGGACAAAGTCATTGTTATGCAAGTCCAAGTCGAGTCTGAAGTCATCAAATTCATGACTCGAGTCTGACTCGAGTCCAAGTCACATGACTCGAGTCCACACCTCAGAGGTGGGACAAAGTCATTGTTATGCAAGTCCAAGTCGAGTCTGAAGTCATCAAATTCATGACTCGAGTCTGACTCGAGTCCAAGTCACATGACTCGAGTCCACACCTCAGAGGTGGGACAAAGTCATTGTTATGCAAGTCCAAGTCGAGTCTGAAGTCATCAAATTCATGACTCGAGTCTGACTCGAGTCCAAGTCACATGACTCGAGTCCACACCTCAGAGGTGGGACAAAGTCATTGTTATGCAAGTCCAAGTCGAGTCTGAAGTCATCAAATTCATGACTCGAGTCTGACTCGAGTCCAAGTCACATGACTCGAGTCCACACCTCAGAGGTGGGACAAAGTCATTGTTATGCAAGTCCAAGTCGAGTCTGAAGTCATCAAATTCATGACTCGAGTCTGACTCGAGTCCAAGTCACATGACTCGAGTCCACACCTCAGAGGTGGGACAAAGTCATTGTTATGCAAGTCCAAGTCGAGTCTGAAGTCATCAAATTCATGACTCGAGTCTGACTCGAGTCCAAGTCACATGACTCGAGTCCACACCTCAGAGGTGGGACAAAGTCATTGTTATGCAGTCCAAGTCGAGTCTGAAGTCATCAAATTCATGACTCGAGTCTGACTCGAGTCCAAGTCACATGACTCGAGTCCACACCTCAGAGGTGGGACAAAGTCATTGTTATGCAAGTCCAAGTCGAGTCTGAAGTCATCAAATTCATGACTCGAGTCTGACTCGAGTCCAAGTCACATGACTCGAGTCCACACCTCAGAGGTGGGACAAAGTCATTGTTATGCAAGTCCAAGTCGAGTCTGAAGTCATCAAATTCATGACTCGAGTCTGACTCGAGTCCAAGTCACATGACTCGAGTCCACACCTCAGAGGTGGGACAAAGTCATTGTTATGCAAGTCCAAGTCGAGTCTGAAGTCATCAAATTCATGACTCGAGTCTGACTCGAGTCCAAGTCACATGACTCGAGTCCACACCTCAGAGGTGGGACAAAGTCATTGTTATGCATGTCCAAGTCGAGTCTGAAGTCATCAAATTCATGACTCGAGTCTGACTCGAGTCCAAGTCACATGACTCGAGTCCACACCTCAGAGGTGGGACAAAGTCATTGTTATGCAAGTCCAAGTCGAGTCTGAAGTCATCAAATTCATGACTCGAGTCTGACTCGAGTCCACACCTCAGAGGTGGGACAAAGTCATTGTTATGCAAGTCCAAGTCGAGTCTGAAGTCATCAAATTCATGACTCGAGTCTGACTCGAGTCCAAGTCACATGACTCGAGTCCACACCTCAGAGGTGGGACAAAGTCATTGTTATGCAAGTCCAAGTCGAGTCTGAAGTCATCAAATTCATGACTCGAGTCTGACTCGAGTCCAAGTCACATGACTCGAGTCCACACCTCAGAGGTGGGACAAAGTCATTGTTATGCAAGTCCAAGTCGAGTCTGAAGTCATCAAATTCATGACTCGAGTCTGACTCGAGTCCAAGTCACATGACTCGAGTCCACACCTCAGAGGTGGGACAAAGTCATTGTTATGCAAGTCCAAGTCGAGTCTGAAGTCATCAAATTCATGACTCGAGTCTGACTCGAGTCCAAGTCACATGACTCGAGTCCACACCTCAGAGGTGGGACAAAGTCATTGTTATGCAAGTCCAAGTCGAGTCTGAAGTCATCAAATTCATGACTCGAGTCTGACTCGAGTCCAAGTCACATGACTCGAGTCCACACCTCAGAGGTGGGACAAAGTCATTGTTATGCAAGTCCAAGTCGAGTCTGAAGTCATCAAATTCATGACTCGAGTCTGACTCGAGTCCAAGTCACATGACTCGAGTCCACACCTCAGAGGTGGGACAAAGTCATTGTTATGCAAGTCCAAGTCGAGTCTGAAGTCATCAAATTCATGACTCGAGTCTGACTCGAGTCCAAGTCACATGACTCGAGTCCACACCTCAGAGGTGGGACAAAGTCATTGTTATGCAAGTCCAAGTCGAGTCTGAAGTCATCAAATTCATGACTCGAGTCTGACTCGAGTCCAAGTCACATGACTCGAGTCCACACCTCAGAGGTGGGACAAAGTCATTGTTATGCAAGTCCAAGTCGAGTCTGAAGTCATCAAATTCATGACTCGAGTCTGACTCGAGTCCAAGTCACATGACTCGAGTCCACACCTCAGAGGTGGGACAAAGTCATTGTTATGCAAGTCCAAGTCGAGTCTGAAGTCATCAAATTCATGACTCGAGTCTGACTCGAGTCCAAGTCACATGACTCGAGTCCACACCTCTGGTAATCCCGCTTCTTCATGGTGAATACATGTTATTCCGCAAGCCTCATCATGCACAATTGTAAAAAAAAAAAAATCTTAGTTGTTTTCAAATGTAGTGTTTACAACTCTGTATTGATCAATACAGATTTGTTCTAAGTTTTCTTGTGACTCTTCTTAACATCTAACATGTTTTATTGTAATAAATTAGGTTGAGAGGTTGTTCATGCAATAATCATCAATTGTATACCACACGCTCCCAGGTCACTCGTGAGTGAACCTTCCACTTTCCTGCAGTGGCATTTGAGACATCTGGATCTGCCCTCCGTGTGCTGTGAGCGAGTGTTTTGCTTACCATGCGCCTCCGTGTCTGCCACTATTCAGTCACACTGTCAGATACATTTTTAGTATTCTCAGATTTCTTAGTGAGTGTATAAGAAGTCTTATATTCAGCGGGTCATCTGGCAATATGCTCTTCATGCCTGCAGACGTGCTTTTGGGTGGTGCAGCAATCAACCACTCAATATTAATAACACACAGATGCAAAGATTGACTCACTGGCACTTGTGAAAGTATTCTTCCTCTGGTATTACTGCTGGTGTTTCTTTGTTTGAAAAAAACAACAACACATGCATTGATGACATTATGTTAAAAGGAAAAGTATAGATTAGGCTTCAAATTAGCACGGTTGGCTATGTACGGTGCAAAAGAAGTTTAACATTCATAAATACATACTGGGCAATGGTCTACATTACATAACACATAGCAAGGCCAAAGAGAGTAGATATGGGGCCAAATGAGAATTACATTTTATGATGCTCTGTCGCAACAGATGCATCCCAATCATATTTGAACCATTCTGTCAAATGTCAGTTGAAGTATAATGCTCACGTTTCTTTATTTGATTTGCATTAATTATAACCTCCCCCCATTTGTAATTAACCTGTACATACAGGAATGTGCCAACAACATTTACTGCCTACGATATTCTTCTTCTATGCATTGGCACCATCAGCATTTGTCAAGCCACAGCAACATGGTGTGCTCAAAACACCGCAGAGTGTACACACACACACACACGTTCGCCTAATACATCTGATATGCACGTTGTCCATCAGGTACAGCGTATAGAGCATGAGATAGTTGTTTCACTCTCGACCACCGTATAACATTCAAACATGACACTGCTGCTCAGAAAATGTTTTATGTTTGAGACTTTTGCACATGTCACCCCAATTGAGTGCATGCTTGGTAGATTGAGGAAGTTTATTTAGCTGGAAAATGATTTTGTTTGTGGAGCCTGCACTGAAAGGCAATGCTTCGAAATAGATAAGTTCTATTGTGTGATATTTGTTACGACATTGTAGCTATGCAAACTTAATATATAGTCGATAAGTATTGTGTTATAGTTAAGTAGTGTATATTAGGTAGCAGCTAATCATGTGCAAGAGTTCAACACAACCGATGTCATATGTATCACCGTACCGTGCCGTTATTTCTTTTCTTCTGCCGACTTTCTCAACTGTTGCACCCCCAAGTGCCACTCTTACATCATCACGGCATCTTACTGAGTCACATATATCTTGTGTCAAGGCAACGTTTTGGTGAACAACATTTAAAGCATTTGAAATTAATTTGTTTCCAAAACAAAATCGCAGCGATGATTTTTCCAACTTTACGTTGATTGTGTGGTTTATTATTGCATGATGATATTTTCTTGCATGTGTCTGTAGATTACACCTACTACTGGCACCCACCCCTTGCTCGTTTTTGTCAATCCAAAAAGTGGAGGCAAACAAGGAGAAAAGTAAGAGAGCACTGACAATACATGGCTAAACAAACTCATTTGCTCAAAGAAACCTTTGGATATATTGAATTCCTCCTAATTAATATTTACATAATTAAATTGTATATGTTTGTTCCAATAAAATACATATTATGACACGTACACAGCTTTCATTAAGCTTGCTGTAGTTACCCTTGAAGTTCAATTATAACCTTCATTTTGCCTAAATGGCTTTAACAAAATACATAATTTAATTTTATATGAATAAAAAAATTACTTTGCAACGCAGTATGCATAAATATCTAAGCCGATATGTTTCAAACATTTGTTGCACCGTTTGACAGAGTTAATATTTTAGCTTTATTTTATAGGCTAATCCATCAATTGGTGACAATCTCACGTAGGAATGCAGCTTAATGGTTTTGTAATTCATATTTGTATTATAGTAAGTTCAATTTTTTCAATAAAAGTTCATAAAAAATATTTGAAAGTGTAACATTTTCCATTGGGTATTTGTGTGAACACTATACACATGTATATGTATTTTTTAATAAATGTATTTTGGATGCAGTTAACAAATGTTTTGTTATTGAAAGCAACTACATGTGACATTTTCTACCCAATCACAGACAGTTATAATATGGCACAAGTTATAAAATACATAGAAATCATGGTACATGGCTTGTCTGGTAATTATTAAAGAGAACCGATTTGTAAGTTAATCAGCTTGAATGAATACAGTTTGATTCACTTCAAATTAACTATTATTTAATCAAAATATAAGCAAATTTTATCGAAATTTATTGTAATTTTCTTATTTTAACACTGAAGAAGACATTGCATGCACAGTACTGTCATTAGTAATTTGAACAAAATGGATATTTTATATTTAAGACTGTTGTAACAGCTATAAAGCATTGTCACAACTTGTGAATATATTTTTTCTAACCAATGATTTGATAGATAGCAAACGTGCATTCCAAATTTTAGGTTTTTCATTAACGTTGTTTCACTCAATTTTTGCAGAATTCTCCGAAAGTTTCAATACCTTCTCAATCCTCGGCAAGTGTATAACCTCAATAAAGGCGGTCCATTTCCAGGGTACGTGAAAATGCAAAGCATACAAAACCACTGAAACAGAATTGCATGGAGGCCCCTGCATGATCCAACCAGTTGTAACTGAATGAGAGCTTCAACTCTACAAGTCTTGGTCTCAATCGTATACTCTGATTTATATACTTATAGTCTCTCTCTCTTAATTTCATGAATCCTTATAGATGATTGGACATCTGTGACAGCAGAAGTTATTGTTAAAAAGTTAGTAGCAGTACAGGGAAAATCTATGAGAAAAGCAAGTTCAGTCGTGCGGGTGCATATGCGCGTGTGCGCGTGCATATATGTGCGTGTGTGCATGGTTGCGTATTTATGTGAGCGGAGTTATATGAAAGCTGGAGCAATTGCTTCATGGTTAACGCACTGCTCACCGCGTTATGGCATCAGTGATCCAGGTTCGATTATTGGCTATGCACAACGCAGACTCTCACTTATAAGAAACGTTACAACGCCGATTTAGTTTAAACTAGCGGGAAGTACCCGGCATTGCTCGGGTCTTAAAAATATTTAAAAACTTCTCTTAAAAATCTAACAGCAGTGCGTATTGACTGTGATGGTACCTGCTATGATTACAGCAGTGCATACTGTGGTGGTACCTGCTATGATTACAGCAGTGCATACTGTGGTGGTACCTGCTTTCACTGCAGTAGTACATGCTGACTCTATAGCAGTTTTTATCGACTCTATAGCACAAAGTACTCACCTGACAGAGTGGTGTGGTGAGGCCTAGTCCCGTGCAGAGCCTCCGGCCTTGCCTAGAATGTCCAGCCGGCCGAGGTGGCACCTTGGCAGGCTGGGCTGCTACACCTGACCTCCCCCCCCCCCCCCAGCTACGATCTCCCCGGCCGCTCTGCAGTAATATCTACGGCCTATAGTGGTAGCATCTAGCGACTGTATAGTAGTAATAACTGCACGCATCAGGGTGGGGGGGACATCACACAGTGAAGAATTAACGTCAGATTTTAGTGTATTTTTTATAGCATTTTTAAGGCGCGTGAGTTGGTATGGTCGTGCACGCGTCATAAATAAATAAATACATGTTAAGCGTGCACAAATCGCACTAAATCGCTAATTAAACAAATTTTAAGTTGACGGATGTGAAAAAGGAATAGCACTTGCTCACCACGGGGCTTACGGCGTGGTACCGGCTATTTATTTTTCACGTAAACCCCACCGTTGGAGAGGCAAATTGTTCGCAAGTGCTTGAAGAGACACAAACCCACAAACAAACCCACAAACAGACAATAGATGTTTCGATTTAAAGCTTTCGTGACTGCAGGGATTCATCTTCTTGGTTCTTTCGGTAAAGTCACGTGACTTTACCGAAAGAACCAAGAAGAGGAGACAATAGATGGTCCGTATAAAAGCATGTTTTGTTGAATGTCAGTGTTTTCAAAATACTTAGCATGCAAATGCCAGGAATCTTGCAGATGACGTCTTGCATTCCATCAAGACATGAACCAATGATAGAGCACTCACTGTTCAGCCACTGGTCTATAAGAAACATTTTGCAGATGTGACCCATATCGTTAAAGCCATTTCATGAGAACATAGCTCTTCATTTCTTGCATGTGGTAGACTCACATATACTTTTGACAAATTAACACATCGTGTAATGTTTTCCTTAATTTAGTGGCATTTAGTCTTCATACTAATGGGCCTAGTTCTGTTACTAAGCTGCTGGTATGACACACGATGGTAAAAACTATAGTTGGATGATTCTCATAATTTCTAGCCTGGAGTCGCCAGCCCAATCTTAGTATCAAATACAATTGTCTCTGGGATGGTGGGATTGGCTGCATTATGGAATCGCTGTGAGGGACCAGGCTGTGGGGAGTCCAGCATGATATTCAGGCAAGAAGGGTGGGCCCTTGGCACCTGGAGGGCCTATTGAAATCACGATGGAAATTCATGGCGATGCCTATGTAATGTTTCAATGGCAATTGTGGTGATATTGGCTGGCGGGTATTGGTGTTGATACTAGCCAATAAACGTATTACCTAAGTATCTGCCATATATTTTAAATACGTTTGGTGCTGCCGGTCTGCTGGAATTGACTGCAATACCTGCCGACCGGTATTGATCGGAATATCCTTTGAAATAGAATTTGCCTGATTCCCAGCATGATCCTGATGTGGTGTTCAGGCAAGACGGGAGGGCGTGTGGGGCATGAATGGCCTAGTGGAGGCTGGCCTGGGCTTGGCTCTTACCCGTGCCAATGCATGGCTGGGATGCACAGAGCAAACACAAGCCCAAGCTACACACACAGAAACTTTAAATGTAAAGCCTCGAACATATACTGAGGAGCTCCGTGCATATGTAGCCTTGGCTACAGCCTAGCATACACATGGAGCAGCTATGCTTATATTGACTGACTATACAGTGCATTGTATGTGAGATCGTCCCTTAATTTATGCAAATTTTTTGACAGATTGAACTTCTTTCGTGACGTCCCCGATTTCCGAGTGCTCACTTGCGGTGGGGACGGCACTGTGGGCTGGGTTTTGGACTGCATCGGTACGTAACAAATGAATGAATTTCCTATCGGCACTGCAGAATCATACGTCATTATGACAACTTTGTCAAAATAGCGTTCGATGTAGTGGATGAGTTATATCTGTACTGACACCACTTTTTTTTCCAGACAAACTCTCTCTGCCAAAGCGTCCACCTGTAGCAGTCCTTCCTCTTGGCACAGGGAATGATCTGGCTCGGTGTCTGCACTGGGGTGGTGGTAAGCGACGGTCCTCCAATGCTCACATTGACAAAACCTACATGCACTGTAATCTATTAATATGGTTCTAGATTTGAAGCTTTCGTGACTGCAAGGATTAATACTCTTAGTTCTTTCGGTAAAGTCACGTAGGTAAACAATGAAATTAAAATTAATAAAAAATAAAATAATAAAAATCACGACGTTTCGGAGGCAACACAAGTCTCCGTCATCAGGTGGGACCGTCACAGCCAGATTTGCTGCATCACAGCCAGATTTTCTAATGCAGCCAATCTGGCTGTGACTGTCCCACCTGATGACGGAGACTTGTGTTGCCTCCGAAACGTCGTGATTTTTATTATTTTATTTTTTATTAATTTTAATTTCATTTTTTACCTACATAGTGACTTTACCGAAAGAACTAAGAGTATTAATATGGTGTCTGTGCTATCCTGTCCCGTTACCTGTTATTGGACCTTTTTCTTAGACATCATTCGTTTTCTGGACTGTGGCACCCTGTGTTGTGTGTATGTACAGGTGCCTTTCATGATTCCATTCCCCTATGTATGCATGTTGAGCATTGTTCGCATCATGCGTATCCGACTGTGTGAATCGGAGGTGGCGGAACAGGGGGGACAACAAAAAATGTCAAAAATGGGTTTCTTCTTCAGTTTCTTATTCCTCTTGAAATGTTCCTTTGTTTCCCTCAATGTGTTTTTTTTATTCTTGTTTGCATTGTAAAGGTCTTTGAGATGCCATTTTAGTGTTTAAGCACTCAATAGCACGAATCCATTTCCAATGCTAACTAAAATGCCTTGAACATATTAATGTTCATATATTTGGGATACACCATTTCTACTGCAACAAACTTCATTAACCATTGAAATAACAGTTTGTTGTGAGTATTCTGATAGTCATTAAATAATTTACAGCCCTTTTGTTAACTTTCTGCTGGAGATTTCTACACCATGTCGATCACGAGGGGTGTTTAACTATACTTCACCATGTTTGTCAGTGCAGGTTGATGAAGGAGGCATCTAGGACTTGGTTCATATTTCACTCGCCAATGATGTTAGCCATTGCCGGGAATCGAACTCAGTTTCCTTTGGTTCATAGTTCAGTGTACGAACAACCACTGTGGGAACGGTCTACTCCTGTGAATATTATTCTTAAAATTCTGTTATGTTTAGTTGCAGGCCGAGTGAGATTGGGCTTTGGCACAGCACACAATGCCCTGCTTTTACAGACAAAGCGCAATGAGGCGGCACTTATCTCTATCAGTAGCAAATGGTGGAAATTTCACGCAATTCTGGTGGAGGGACCATTATCTGCACATTGTTACCACTCTACACGTCCTACAACGTGGTATTTATTTTATCGCCCTCAAAGGGATGGCAGGCTTAAGATGTTGGTCTGTTTCAGGTTATGAGGGCGGCAGCCTGCGCAAGACCCTGAAGGACGTGGAGAACAGCACTCCGCTCATGCTGGACCGCTGGAGTATCGAGGTCGTTGCCACGGATCTCGACGAAAAGGGCGACCCTGTACCTTACTCCATCATCAACAACTACTTCTCCATCGGCGTGGCAAGTCCCACCCTCTACCACCACATCGTCACATGCGCACACATTTTCACGGCAGCTCTTATTCTGGCATATTCCTTGTCGTATGGATAGACTGGCCCCCTCCCTGCCTTAGGAATGTAGGATTTCAGCCACAGACTCTACCACCAACAGAGATTAGCACCTGACTATGCCTGCTTGTGCATGATGCCTTGACATTTTTTACTATTTCTTGAATCCCCAGCCTTATTTTAAGATTTTGAGTGTCTGTAGGTGTTCACCTTTGATTATATGAGGTGTTGCCCTTCTAATCACGATCATTATTCCATGGCGTCTGCATGCCTCCTTCACGCACCCTTACATGGTAGGACTTGACTATTATCCCAACTCTGGCTTTGCTGCCATTGACGTGTGTCCTGGTGTTTACGTTTTCAAGTTTATTTTTATGATGCACCAGGTGGGAAGTCAAACAAATGTACAGCAATGAAGTAAACAGCAATCAGAACAAACCTAAAATAAAATAAAAATAAAACTACCGTATAACGCAAGGAATCTGAAATATTACATAAACACAAATCAATGTTAATCAAAGGTAAATATGAAGTTCGCTGCAGTGAAAAGTGGATTAGGTGGATTGTCTCCTGACTGATCATAGGACTAATTACAAATCTAGGCTTCAGGAAAATTAAGCAGATATAGGTTGACTATTGTACAGTAAAATCTTGGATTGCGAGTAACTTGGTCTGCGAGTGTTTTGCAAGACGAGCAAAATTTTTAAATAAGTATAAATTTGATAAACGAGCGAGGTCTTACAATACGAGAAGTACGGACACGCTTTGTCTGCCGAGCGTCACGTGATCACAACTGATATACGAATGCTTTGATATACGAGTGCTTTGGATTACAAACACGTTTCCGGAACGAATTATGCTCGCAATCCAAGGTTTTACTGTACTATCATGTAAACCAACACGGGATACAGCAATGTTTGTAAAGACTACAAAGGGAGCTGTGAAGGGCAGCAGGGAGATTCTCTCCTGCTACCCATAGGATCCTCTTTTACGTTGTTCTAGTTTGCCAGTTTGAGCCTCGGGATCTTCACTGTGACAGTTTATTTTTTCTTTGAATTCTAATCGCTTAATTGCTGCACCCTATCTTAATTGTTTTGCCTGTGCCGTGTTTTGTGACACGCAGGGTCACTGCACAATAAATAAATAAATGCGGATTGGGCAATTTGAAACGACCCACAGTACACTTATCTTCTTCTTGGTTCTTTCGGTAAAGTCACGTAGAATGGAAATAATAAAATAATAAAAATAAAATAATACAATAATTCTGAGAATTCTTTTATTATGTTTTCTTTTTAATAAAATAATTCTGAGAATTATTTTATTATGTTTTATTTTTATTATTTTATTATTTCCATTCTACGTGACTTTACCGAAAGAACCAAGAAGATGAATCCCTGCAGTCACGAAAGCTTTAAATCGAAATTTATACACTTATCTTCATTGTCTGACCCTAACCGTCGTTATTTGTCCAAGTTGTTCTTATTGCGATGCACACACTCGGGTATCTTCCCATCGTGCACGGTGGCCGACGACTCACCGCCGCGTGCCGATCGCTTCCCGTGCCCCACCAGTAGGCGGCGCTCTCTCTGGCTTTCGAGTAATTTTGAAATATTTGGTAACAGACAAACACTCGTGAATAGACGCTGTCTTTGCGACAGACCCGTTCTTCACCTGAGGACGGCTGCTTGCGTTGTGGCCGAAACGTCGTGAGAATTATTTTATAATGTTTTATTTGTATTACTTTATTATTTCCCTTCTACGTGACTTTACCGAAAGAACCAAGAAGACACTCGTGAATAGTTTGCATTCCCGCAGGTGACATTCAAAGATTAATAGCTTCCATTTGATATAAAACTTATGTCTGTAACGTGTGGATGAAGGAGATTTGGATCCAAATATGAAAGAAAATAACCCCGCCCGCCCCCATCAAATCTATTTCTCTATATGAGAGGAACTAAATATAGGGAGGACCACCAGAATGACGATGACTCCCGAGTTGAGCTCAACACATTTGCTGCTATGGCACACAGTGAGAATGGGCAATCGCGTATTTCTGGATTAATCTTCCCCGTTCTTCTCGCTTGTGCATTCACACTTCTCCAACATCCTGTCATGGGCATATCATTTCGAGTTTCCAGACGATGCAGTATTATTACAGCAGGTGGTGCTCCAGCTACAAATGTGGTGGCCTGGATTTTCTTGGAAGTTATTCACATTGAAGAAAAGTAATACTTCCTTGTGAGAATATTCGACATGCGAGGTTTCAGTACAACAAACTTTGGATTGATTACCATTATTTTAATGGTTACCATTATTTGAATGGTAATAAAAAATTTACTAAGATAATAAATCAAATCACTAAAACATTACATTTATCAATCTTTGGTACTATATAAATGCTAATTAAATTGTCCCTTCAAGATATTTATTCTATTTAAGTCAATGTTTTATTTTCATACTGTACACCATAACATGTAATTTTATTTTCAATACAAATTATTTTTATTATAATATGAATGCTAAGCTATGAAGTGTTTATAGTATGAAATAATAAGTTACGAAGGCTGGGAACGCATCCTCATAGTACAAATGTCATAACATATTCAGTATACGAAGTTTAAACATACGAACGAAGCTCCAGAAACGCATTTACCTCGAATATGGAGGTGTTACTGTATATATTTTATTCTTTGAAATCGTAGTGATTCAGAATATATTGAAATGCTTAATATAGTTCCATAGAGAGTCAAGTGAGACTAAACAGTGAACAATAGCAGCAGTTCTTCCACTTGCAAACAAAAACTTGTAGTCGTAGTAAAACAGGCAGCTTCGTGATGCTGATTTACTTATGTTATGTTGACTAAATGAAAGGAGCCATACTTTACTAGTTTTCAAACATTTCGAGTTGATGTAGTTTGGGAATTATAACTTTAAGCCACTGTTTCGCATGTTGGTGTCGTAAAATTGCAGTCTTGGGTCCTCAAGACCAGCCCTCGCCCTCAATGCCAGCTTCAGGACATTTCCTTAGGTCTTGTCCTTGACCCCTATCCTCGGGTGTGTGGCCTCGGTCCAAGAACTTGGCTTCGAGGTCCTGGCCTTGGCACTGGCCTCAGCCTAGAGGATGCAGCCTTGACTGGCCTTGACACTGACCTTAATCTAAAAGACTCCTGGCTTTGACCTTGGCTTGGCCTTGTGGCTCAGCCTCGGTCTCATAGGTCCTGGCCTTGAATCCAAGAATGGAAAATTTACAAGCGACAGGTCACAAACTCTAAGCCATTAAGGCCGAGAGATAATATACAGCCACAATGTAATGCGCTCAGTGCAATGATTACGACTGTTACGCAAAATCCAGTTCTTTAAAACATGAGGATTAATGACGGATTCCAAATCTTAACTTTTTTCCCCAGTGAAAATAAAAGCTAAAGGTCTTAATGTGTGTCTGATGCATGACACGGCGTTTAATTTTATGTTCAAATGAGCATAAGTTTAATTTTCAGTGCAAATGGATGGCAATATCTTGAGACCTCGATGTGGGCTGAATATTTTATTTCTTGGGGAAGTTGTAAAATGACTAGTATTCATCACAGTGTGTGTGGTAGCAACAAAGGGCTGTGGTAAATTGTGTACAGGCTGTGCTTTGTTTTATTGCCTCGTTCTCTGAAGTTTTAAATTCAAGTTGGACTCCTTTTGTTGACAACAGCTGTAATTTGTTGTGTGTCAGGATATATTATGATGAGCATCCTTATTTGTATCATTATGTATCTGCCCAGTAACTCTATGCTGTTATCATGTAGAAATGTGTGTTTGTGTGTAGTTGTGTATTTGATGAGTATAGTATATGAGACAGAAAGAGTGGGGGGGGGGGGGTGCAGAGACAACAGAGTGATTTGCAGATCGCACTACGAACCCATTGACCTGAGTTAGATTCCTCGCCATGGATGACATCTGTGTCAAATGGTATCGGAACGTGTCCTGGGCCTCCGCGAGGTTGGCTCGCCCTCAAAGGAGTACCAGCTGCAGTATAAATACCGGCACTGGATAGACATGCGTGCTGCTGGCTGCACCACCAATATGCAGGCTTTAACAGCAGCACATCCACCGAGAGTCTATGCACTATCTGGGGGATTCTTTGGCATATTTTATGCTCACACGGGTGTTTTTGTTGTTGGATCTTCTTTAGAATAAGAATCTGTATTTATACTCGAGGAATCTGATGATCTATGAAGCACTTTTTCACAGCTGTTTTAATAACAGAAGCATTTGTCTAGCAAGCCATATTTTTTTCTGAAGAGCCTTGTAATATAATAATGAATTCAGGGCTTGCCTTCTTAAACAAATGCTCCTGGAAAATGTTGGTCCAAGGAACCTTTTGGTTGATTGTGCCTAAATGTCATTTTCCTTTTGGCTACGAAGCAGACCCTTTATATTTATGCTGTATCAACAGTGAATTCTAATAATATAGATTATGAGAAACGTTTAATATTGATAAAATGTCAGGCTATTAATTCAGTTAAACTCCTTTTTTCAACAGTGTCCTACTGCATATACATCACAAAACACACATTTTTCACATTATGGAACTGGCATTACATTTCTAAAATTAATCCGAATGTATCAAATACACATTTTATGTTACAAATGTAAAAGTCGGTGTTCAGCGTGAATATATATTTTGTTTCATAAACAGACACAACTTGAATGCAGGTAAAATTTTGTGAATACAGGTAAAGTTTTGTGAAACCAGTTTCACGTGTAGATTTTCACAGCCACTCATAATTCATGCATGGCCTTCAGGGTTTAGTCGTGAGATGAGCATTTCTTTCACTTGCACTTTTGCCATGCACTACCGCGGGCATCTTCAGGAGTTGAATTAAGGGGCATCACCTGGCCCACACCCTGATTATATGTTATCTGCTTTGTCCTGATTATTCCGCAAGACTCATGTGGTTGGAT